TCATTTTTTTGGCGTTACAAACACCACGCCAACCCCAACACCATCTCTTCTTGATGCTCCATCGAAGTAAAGCTCCCATGATGGCAATACATCTACAAAGAACACCTCTTCATCTGGAAGATCCTTTGACAACTCCCATTCAGCTAGAATTGGATGGTTTGCAAGAAAATCAGCTAAGGCTTGTCCTTTTATCACCTTTTGTGGCACATAAATTATTTCAAATTCAAACAATAATAGTGCCCATTTTGCTAATCCACCAGAGAGCACCGGCTTTGACATGATGTATTTTAAAATGTCTACTTTTGATATAAGATGTACAACATGAGCCAACATATAATGTCTCAAGTTCTTCGTAGAGAAGATCAGGGCTAGGCAAATCTTCTCAATGGGTGAATAATTCACTTCTGCCCCTACCTTGTACGGCTTAAATAATAGAGAGCATTTTCTCTTCCTTCTTCATTAACTTGTGCTAGCAATGCTCCCAAGGAATATTCTTGTGTAGCAATATAAAGGATCAATGGTCTCCCAAGAATGGGTGCAACAAGAACTAAAGGGTGAAGAAGGTATTCCTTAATGCTGTCAAAAGCATTTTGACATGCTTTATCCCATACAAATGGTGCATCCTTCTTCATTAACTTGCTAAATGGATGACATCGTCCAGCAAGGTTTGAAATGAACCTCCAAATGTAAGCCAGCTTGCCTTGGAGACTTTTTAGCTTTTGAAGATTTTTCGGGGGTGGCATGTTCACAATTGCTTCTATCTTGGATTGATCAATTTCAATGCCTCGATGCCTCATAATAAACCCCATAAATTTGCCAGAGGAAACACCAAAAGCACATTTTAATGGATTCATTTTTAGCTGATACTTACCAAGTCTCTCAAACACAACTTTCAAGTCATTGAGGTGGTCATCACGTCTCTTAGATTTAACAACCAAATCATCGACATAACATTCAACCAACTCATGCAACATGTCACTAAAAATCAATTGCATTGCACGCTGGTAAGTGGCTCCGGCATTTTTCAACCCAAATGGTATAACTTTATAACAATAAATACCCTTTGGTGTTCGAAAAGCTGTAAGCTCCTCATCCTTAGGATTCATGCGAATTTGGTTGTAACTAGAGAATCCATCCATAAAGGACAAAACTTCATGCCCCATGGTTGCATCCACCATAAGCTCTATGATCGGAAGTGGAAAATCATCTTTTGGGTATGCTTGGTTTAGATCACGAAAATCTACACATACCCTGAGTTGTCCATTCTTTTTACAAACTGGAACAATGTTCACAATCCAGGATGGATAATGGACCTCCCGAATGAAGCTGGCTTCAATCAACTTATCAACCTCAGCTTCAATTTGTGGGATAAGGTCTGGACGAAAACGTTGCTGCAACTGCTTCACTAGGCGTACCCCATGCTTCACGGCTAGATAATGAACAGCTACTTTTGGGTCTAAGCCTGGCATCTCTTTGTAAGACCAAGCAAACCCATCCTTGTACTCAGTAAGTAGTTGCACATATCTTACTTCTTCCTCCAAACTCAACGATGCACTGAGAAAAATGGGTCTTGGATCATCCTCTGTACCTAAGTTTCGTTGCTTTAGCTCGTCAGTAGTAGCTTGTCCCCCCTCCTCAAAGGCTTCTAGGGCTAGATTTGGTTCTTCATCTGAGGAATCAAAGTCAGAAATTTTCTCAATTAAGACATGGTTTGATTCAACTACCTTTACTTCCTCAGTGGAAGGCTTTGAGATCTCTTGCCCATCAAGGACATCCTTACGTCTCCATTGATACTTCTTTCTTTGCATGGACTTATTCTTGTTCTTTTGAATTTTCTGACCCTTAGATGCTTTCTTGCTGTTTTGCTGCTTATCACCAAGTCTAGGAAAGACTGAAGGCTTTTAAGAATGATTCTCTTAGATTGTCAATAATGAAGGAGCAGGCCCTAGTTTTTCAAAAACTGACACTCGGATATTTTCTTGCTAAATCCTTTCCAAGGCTGAAACTCGTAGTTGTGGAGTCCCTTCAATCTTGTCGATTTCAAAAATCTGGATGGTTATTGGATTTGCTGACTTCTTTTTTATCTTGATCTTTGCAGGTTTAGATGATTGAAATCCAAGCCCATGCCTCTGCTTCGACACAGGTTCTCCTCTCAATACGGCTTCCTTCCCAGTTTGGGTTGCTTGAGTACTTGTGAGGATGGAGTTCAAATCCCCAAGTTGCCGAGACTCTCCTTCTTTGAAGCTAGCCTTTTTTAGCAACATTTGAGCACGAGGATCAAACCATCCTTAAGGTTGATTTTCATGTTCTATGGCTGTTTCAACCATTTCTTTTATAACTGGATTAGAAATGCCCAGTTTAAAGAGTGTAGACAATGGAAGCACAAGATCTTCCTTAAGCACCTTCACATCCTCTATTGAAAGATGAACTTCAGAACTTGAAGATGGATCTTTTATAGGGCGAACAACGATTTTTTCGTCATTCTTTTGCTTTATTTGTGGCATCTTGATAGGAAGAGTTTCAAAATCATCTTCTTCCTTTTCATAAAATTTGGCATCAGCAAAATGAGACTCTTCTTTCGTGAAAGGCTCTTTCTCAGCCATAACACATTTTGTTTTGCCATCAGAATGATATTTAAAACATTGATGCCAAGTTGACGAAACCACTCCATTTTCATGAATCCATGTTCGTCCTAAAAGAAGCTGATATGATGTTTTAGCCTGTATGACATAGAACAAAGCTGAGGTTGCCATGTCTGCGATTTGGAAATTAATGCGGATCTTGCCAATTGCACGTTGGCCCTTTTGGTTAAAGCCTTGGATTAAGAGTTTACTGCTAGTCAATTCATCGACAGTTATCCCAATCCTCTTCATGGTGTAAATTGGAATTATGTTGACAACAGATCCATCATCAATCAAAATTCAATTCACTTTGTGATCTCGAACAATTCCACTCACATAAAGAGGCCTGTTATGTTTTTGGATTCCAAGCTATAGCTCTTCATCTGTGAAGGTTATTGTTCTTAAACACTCAGTATTACTTTCTGGCTTGGCCAGCTCACCTTGGAACTTTTTCGAGTCTAACATAGCTTGTACAAGAGCAAGGCGTGTATCCCATGAAAGTTGCAAGGCTTTGGGTAATTGTAATTCAGATGGAAGTTGCTTCGATTTCTCTATACTTCTATCAGCTTCGAGATCATTTGATTGGCTCTTGGAACCCTCAGCTTCTTCTTTAGATGATGGTTTGTTTTCTGTCTTGAAACTTGTGACATTAACAGATACTTCCTCATTAGAAAAATATCCCTCTGGAAAGTATTCATAAAGAGTAACTACAGCTCTTTCTTTTGAGTTCATATCTTTCTTAGATAGTGACTTTCTCTTCTTAGGAACTTGTCGAAGTCTTGTTTGTAAATCATACCTCCTTTTCACTACCTGACGTTGTTCTTGATTTTTTGGTGTAGCTGGCAAAGCTGAAAGAAATGAATGATTTTGTTGGATGGATGGTAGTGTGGGTCTTGAATGACACCTCCTCTTTCGTGATTGAACTGGAATCCACCCATCATCATCATTGTAAAAGGCAGAAAACTCAGAGTTTGAATACCATCTAGTCGGCTTTATTTTTGGATAGATACCATACATGATTTTATGAGGATCTGGGAGTGGCATTCCATTAGATACTGGATTACGGTGTTTTTTGCTCTTACTAATGAAAGTTGACCAACCATCACCAACCTCATATTCAGACTTAGATGATGATTCCCAATCTTCAAGATTTACCGTCATAAGGTCATATAAAGAAAGAGAGCCTGGACCTCCAGAAGTAGGCATGCTAGGATAAGCATAGGCTATCTTTTCTTCATCATCTGTTTGAAATTTAACTTGAATTGCCCCCTTGGGCAAGTGGGGACCAAACTCCTTAGGTTGAACCATTATTGGGGTTGGTTGCACAAGCAAGAGTGGAACTGGACTGAAGGATCCAAAGGAAACCATGGCAACATTGGTGGCAACGGAACCTTCTTCACTTTCTAGTTGTATTTTGCCTTCTTTCTCAAGACGAACTATCATATCTTTCAACACAAAACACTTACCGATTGGATGACTCACAATTCGGTGATACTTACAGTATTTTGGATCATTTACTCTCCCAACTTCCTCTGGGCGCTTAGGAGCTGGAAGTTCAATTAGGTTTAGTGCCAACAATTGCTCAAAGATAGCTGGCACTTCAGAGTCTGCAAATGGATACTCCTTTTGTTGCAACTCTTTCAATGTAGACTTCTTCTTTTGACCTTGATCCTCAACAATCTTGACACCTTGTTTAGGATTTGTCTTTGGCTTTTGTTGTGATTGTGAGATCTTCACAGGCGCTGTTGTGACTGCCATAGTTTCTTTTGCTTTTGAAGGTTTCACTTCCTTCTTCACATCTTTTCGAGACTCTTTTTTATCACAAGCGTCTGTTGGAAGAAAGTTACCATGCCTAGCAATTTGAATTTCCAAGTCATGGGCACGAGTGGCCAATTCTTCAAAGGTATGTGGCATGTTAGCTTGAAGGTTATACAACAGTCCCCAATGCATACCTTGCACACACATATCAATAGAAGAGATCTCACTAATCTTTTCTCGACAATTTAGGATGAGATTCCTCCATCTTTCAATAAAGTCTGTCATAGACTCATATTTCTTTTGCTTGGTGTTAACGAGCTCAGGCAGGCTAACAGTACACTTGGTACTGTAAAAACGTTTCAAGAATTCTCGCTCTAACTGGTCCCAACTATCCACTAACCCAGCAGGAAGGTCAGTGTACCATTCAAAGGTTGCGTCCTCCAAGGACCGAACAAACCGTTTCACCATGAGGTCCCCATAGGTGCCAGCATTGTTGTATGTTTCAACAAAATGGGCGACGTGTTGCCTTGGGTTGCCCTTCCCATTGAACTTTTGGAATTTTGGTGGCTGGTAGCCACCTGGTAGGCTGAGATTATCAATCCTACAAGTATAGGGCTTGGCATACACAAGTGAGGATTGTGAGGTCCCTCCTTGCCGAGCTTGAATCACATCATCAACTAAAAGTTTAAGTTGTGGAATTGTAAGAGATGTCACAGTAACATAAGTAGTGTCATGGAAAGCACCTTGGAGAATTGTTCAATCTAGTTGCTCTTGCTTTTGTTGCTCCAAGCTTTCCTCCATAGTGACTTGCTTACCCTGATCTGAAGTCCTTAATGAGTCTTCCTTGTTTTCGAGGGCTTTTTCAACGACTGAGCTTGACGCTACTTGGTTATTCTGTTTTGATAAGTGTTGAGCTGCTAAGAGTTCTTGGAGTTCCTTGATTTGGGCATCCTTTTCAGCCACAACTTTCCTTAAGCCTTCCACAGCCTTGAGGAGAGCATCTGAGTCACCAAATGTCGCTTCAGTAACCAAAGCAGGTAAGAGGGACTCAGACAAATGATGAAGGATAGTCAGCCCACCTTAACTTCGAAGTAGACACATGACTAGGCTTGAGACTAAGTTCTTCACCTTCACTAGATTTTGAAGAGAAGTACTCGACATCCTTCACAGGCTGGAAAGGTGACTGGATGGCTAATGCTCGTTTTTTCATTACAGCCTCCTTACAACATCTTTTAGTGAATTGCCTCAAGGGGGAAACCAACTTGGATCTCGTCATGCGCACTTTGGCACGAGTCAGCAAGGAAGATTAATTGGAAAAGATTTGAACTTTTTGAGTTGCAAGAGGAGTTATAGCTTGCTTTGAGTCCGCCATGCCTAAAAAGATATGGTGGAATTTTTCTTCAACTGAAAGATGAAAGGCAGAGATTTCCCCAGTGGAGTCGCCAAAGATGTGTAGTCACAAAATCTGCAAAATCAAATAATATGTATTGATTTGCAAAATAAATACAAATTATTATAAACTTGAAGAAAAATGGGAGACAATCTCTGATTTGGAGTGCTGCAGTGCACGTGCTTGGGCTTTGAAAAGTAACACGTCTTAAAACAGCACGATCCTCTAATTAATAGCTGAATTTTAGAAAGGCAAGGGCTTAAGCTTGTTCTCGTCCTTCAAGGGATTTAAGACTTTCACTTGAAACTTTTCCTCCTTGACATGGATTTGGAGCTTACCCTTGGCAAGAGGTTGGGGCTGAAGGGCAAGGGCTTAAGCTTAAGCTTGTTCTTGTCCTTCAAGGGATTTAAGACTTGCACTTGATACTTTTCCTCCTTCACATGGATTTGGAGCTTACCCTTGGCAGGAGGTTGGGGCTTGAAATTTCGAGGATTGTTGAGGGAGCTTGAAGCTTGTTGTTCCTCTCATTTTCTCCTTCTTCCTTCTTCTTTTTTCTCTCCTTTCCTTTTTTTTTTTTTTTCTTTTTTTTTTCATCAAATGATGGCCTATTTATAGGCAAAGGAATGTTGCTAAATGACCTCAAATGCCCTTCACTTTAAGGATAATTTGGTCATT